ATATATATCTGCTTATGTATTATTTAAGTATAATTTTTTTATTGAACATTTTGTTTTTCATTATTACAGAATTTATTGCTGTTAGTCAACTAAAGGGCAGTACTCAAGGAAAAATATTATGTTTCTATGGGCCTCCCGGGGTTGGCAAGACTTCGATAGCTAAATCAATTGCTCGTGCTTTGAATAGAGAATATTTTAGGTTTAGTGTCGGCGGAATGACGGATGTGGCAGAGATCAAAGGACACAGGAGAACATATGTGGGAGCCATGCCAGGAAAAGTCATTCAATGTTTGAAAAAGACCAAAACTGAGAATCCATTGATTTTGATAGATGAAGTCGACAAGATTGGCAAGTATGTAATTTGTGTAAACATATAAAGAAGTAGATAAATATTTTCTTAAGATAAAAAATATCTCCAATATATTTGAATACATTTAGAGAATATTTGAACCATTTAAAATTATTTGGCATTTATAATTTGGCATTTTTGGTAAATGAGCTCTCTCTCTCTCTCTCTCTCTCTCTCTCTCTCTCTCTCTCTACATCATTTATAATATTATGTTCAGAGGACACCAAGGAGATCCAGCATCTGCTCTTCTCGAAATACTCGATCCAGAACAAAATGCGAACTTTCTGGATCACTATTTAGATGTTTCAGTAGATTTATCGAAAGTACTATTCATTTGCACGGCAAATGTAATAGATACTATTCCGGAACCCCTAAGAGATCGTATGGAAATGATAGACATGTCCGGTTACGTTGCTGAAGAAAAGCTCGCTATCGCGAAACAATACTTAGTTCCACAAGCTAGAACTGAATGTGGTCTCAGCAAAGAACAAATTAGTATACAAGACAATGCGCTCACGGCGTTAATTAAATCTTATTGCCGAGAATCAGGAGTGAGAAGTCTACAGAAACATATAGAGAAGGTGCATAGGAAAGTAGCATTTAAAGTTGTCAAGAAGGAAGCCGACAAAATTGATATCACTATGGATAACTTGCAAGACTTTGTGGGCAAGCCTGTGTTCACGCATGACAGGATGTATGAAACAACACCTCCCGGAGTTGTGATGGGATTGGCGTGGACTGCCATGGGCGGGTCTACGTTATTCATCGAAAGTACTATCAGAAAACCTTCGGGCAGTAAAAAGGCTGAGGGTACATTCGAAGTCACTGGTCATCTAGGTGATGTAATGAAGGAGTCTATACATATCGCAATGACTGTAGCAAGGAATTACTTGAAACAGGAGGATCCTTCGAATACATTTCTGTATGACTCTCATTTGCATATACATGTGCCTGAAGGTGCAACCCCAAAAGATGGCCCTAGTGCAGGTATGACAATTGCTACTGCATTGTTATCCTTAGCTAAAAATCGAGCTATCAGGCAAGATGTAGCAATGACAGGCGAATTGAGTCTCATGGGCAAGGTTCTTCCTGTTGGCGGTATCAAAGAGAAAGTAATTGCAGTAAGTATAAACATAATTTTGTTTATTAAATCCAATTACTCTAATTTAAATAAATTTAAATAAATATCTCTTATTTTAAATAAATAAAACTTTAAATAAATCTCTTATTAAATAATGTATATAATATGTATTTTAATAGCTTATAATATATTAGTTTTACTAAATTATTTTTCATCGAACCATACATTTGCATTAATATTTATTTATCATAGTTTTTTAAAACAATTATTTATATACTCATGAAATAATCGCTTTGTTTTATATGTATATAATTTCAAAGTATAAAATTAATGAACTATATTTTATTAGGCGAAGCGAGTCGATGTTAAGTGCATAATTTTACCTGAGGAGAACAAGAAAGATTTCAACGATCTACCTAAATACATCACAGATGGCCTGGAAGTGCATTTTGTCTCGATGTTCAATGATGTTTATCGTATATGTTTCTCAGAAACGAACGAGACTGATTCCCTTCGATCCGCTAAACCAGTCACTGATCATGCTTCATCCACACAACCAACATTTGGATAAATAATAATACAGGATGGATCATGTATGAACTTTTTTCTTTATCATATTCAATATTATCACTTCTCTTAATATTGATCTTCTGAATAATTTTGTATATAGTTAATATATTAAATAGTATATACTAA